AAATCTGCTCTAACGGCTAGTTTCCAGAGCCGTTGCTGTATTGGTTTTTTGGTCTTTTTCTTGGCTTTCTCTTGGCTTTAGGGTTTCTATAAATACCCCTTATACCTCAAATCTTTTAATTATCTAAGAAATGTTTTAACAAGTTTTAAAAGAGTTTAAGTTTGGTTTTAAGTTTGTTTAAGAAGCTTTTAAGCATTTGAGTGTTTCGGTTTTGTGAATAAATTCCACAAGAGCTTGAGGAGATCATCTATTGAAGTTTGAGCTTCCAACTATTCTCCCTCTACCTCTTGATCTATTGAGAAGTTTTCTAACTCTTTTCTCTAGCAATTTTATTATTAATTTTCATATTCTTATTATTGCTAGTTTGCTATTTGAGTTAGATTTGATTTTATCTCATTGTTACACACACCCACTTGAAGCTTATGTATTTGCATATATAGTATATTAGGGTTGTGAGAGATCGTAACAATTGAGTGTGAGCTTTTATTGTGTTCTCATCCATAGTAGAGAACAAACATTTATTGTATTGAACCTTATTGTGAGATTCACTTTATAATACACTTGTACACCGAGAGAAGTGTGTGGCGAGAGTCGGGGATCGTCCCAAGAGGAGTGGCGTCGGTTGACGAACCTAGGGAGAGGTTATAACCGAGCACTGAGGAGGAAGGACACGGGCTATGGTTCCATACACTTAGTGTGTAAAGTGTGTTTACATATGTATTTGTGTAGTCGTGACAGAGTATTTCGGTGGATCTTGCCTAAACCGAGTGTGTACGAAATTCCGGCTTCCCAAACCGATACTCGTGTGATATTGTGATATCTCTCAGAGGTTGAGGAGGCGGGGACGTAGGTCCGTGGGGACGCAACACCTCGTAAACATATCTTTGTGTTTGTGTTTGCTTAGCGTATATTTCTTTGTGCTTATTCCTTATCGTTCTTATTCATATCTATCTCTTGCAGAACATAATTGAATCAATATAATTTTTAATTAGAATTAATTCGGGATTATGATTAGCATAAAGACCCTAATGCACCCCCCTCCCGCCCCTAGGCGTTCTTGTCCCTAACAAGGTGCTCATAGAAGAAGGGAAGCAACCTTACCAAATTCAAAGAAGAAAAGGAAAAACACATTAACAAAGACTTTACGTACAAGAAAGAGAACAAACATTTGTTTTGGGATTCCCGTTATGATGATGAGCTCATTCCATTGCTTGCCGACTTGGTAAGAAAGGGTTACAAACCCGACAAAACCTTTAAGAGAACCGCTTATCATATGGCTTCCCAACATATTAACGAGAATTTTAACACAATATTTAAGTGGGATAACATCATGCACCGCATCAAAACTTTATGCACAAGATTTCGTGATATGGAAACTTGTCATAATCTTAGTGGTGCCGGATGGGATGATAGCACTAAGACTGTCATCATGGATCATGAATGTTTGGATAGGTGGATTGAGGTAAATAAACTCTTGTTGCATTTTCATTGACTAATTATCTCATTTTCTTATTTTCATTTAATTAATTCACCTATATTGTTCAGGACAAGAGCTTTAAGAATGCTAATCTTAGACAATACGTTAATAAACCCTTGATGCATTATGATGATCTTGCACTTATCATCGGGGATGATCAAGCTAGAGGGAAATTTGCTAGTGATGCTTGGAAAAAGTTTAGTCACAGCGAGTCCATAAATCTTGAAGATGATGCTAACTCACATTTCCCTACCTCTCAATCCCCTCAAGTACATGTTTTAGATGACGAGAACACTCCTCCGCCTAAGGAAGTACCCGCCACATCAAGTTCTAAGGCCAAGTCATGTGTTGCTAAGGGAAAGGCTCGTAGGACCAACCTAGATAATGAGCTCATGCAAAAAAAATGGTGGATAAGATAGATGTATTTAGTGCAAACATGAACTGTGTACATATGCATTGGAATGAAAAGTTATTCACAGTCCTATATGCTCATTTACAGGACTTTAGTGTTAATAAGCTAGATGCATACTATCGTAATCTCTTTTTGAATGAGCATGAATCAAGACTATTTATGGGCATATCTCCGTTAGTCAAAAAGAGATGATTGATGCATTTCTCAACAATGAGGGTTGAAGACCAATAGAATATGGGTTCACGTGGTATTTTGTGATTCTCACTTCTAACATACTTGTTAAATCCAATTACTTTTGGTGAAAGACTATGCTTGCTTAATTTAGGGAACTACCCTTAGGGATGTTATTTTTTGTGTTTGTGGAACATTATGATGATGGAACATGTTATTATAATATATAGTAAGTATTTATATGCCTCCACATTTAGTCGTGATTCCGCGTTTAGCGTATAGTTTCATATGAATATTTACCTTTCATTATGTGAATATTGTAGGATACTAATTTTTACATTGAACTTGTGATTGCAGGAACTTTATAAGTCACCATATACATGACAACTGATCAAATTTTGTATGCAAGCAACCTACAATGGCTATTGTTGTGGGTTATTAAGGTATTCGGTTGTCATGCCACGAGTTTACACTGGTGACATTTTTACTTTTAGGCTATGATGATTATCAAATTTTCTGAGATTGGCAACGTGCAATATCTATTGATATTGTACTGGATGGCTAATAATGATGATATTGACCAAGTTCTGAGACCTCAGCCATAATTTCCATATATATGTGGCTGGTTTACTTTATGTGATGTCAACAAATATTTTTAAATAATTTTTTAATCATAAAGTTTATTCAAATTTGAACATGCATAAATTATCAAAGTAGTACACGATAATAACCAAGTAGTACATGTTCAGGCTTTCATTTTAGCGACTTTATATAGATTTCTAGACCACAATGCTCTTTGATACATTCCTTACTCAGATTGGCAACAGCTTCATTGTAACCAACTTCATGGGCGTGTGTTAGGAGTTGATTTTTGTTGCAAAAATTGTTGGGTATATCTTTGTAGTAAGGATATTTCCAATTTTCGTTTCGGTCTATAACTTTTACAGCATTAGCTCTAAGCATAATTTCTGTTAATTTCCATAATATCCCACATTTCATCTTGCTCTCGATCTGCATCCGTATAAGTAATCCATTCTTTAAAGGTTTGTTTATGTTCAGTAATCCTTCCACGCTGATAAAAAATATAGTAAATTGACATTAAAATAAATAGCTCTATTGTTTATCATAAAAATTTTAAATATTCTTACCTTTGATAACGGTGCAGATGAAGATTCACCAATATCTTTACGTTTCTTACTCACATTTTTTTTCCTGGTTAGAATTTGGTATGCAAATATTGCGTTTTATAGATGTATATGGACTAGTACGTTTACTTGGTGGTTGGATGTTGAATCTGACAATATTTATTTAGATCAATAAATTTTCTACCGGTATTGCCCATGGTTTTGAAGCGCTCATGGTTTTGAAATCTAACTGGTTTTGTTTCTTGTAGTTAACTCAACTATTCGGTCTCCATTACGTACATGCTTAGTATTTCCAGGTTTGATGCGATTTTCCATGTCATATACATATTTATGACTAACCAGGTTGTTTATAGGTTTTTTACAGGTTTCATAAGATTTTTTTTCTAATTCAGGTACGTATTTCATAAAATTATGAATAATCAGGTTATTACAGGTTTCGTTTAATTTTTTCATGTCAAATCAGGTACGTAGTTCATAACAATTAATCATGTTATTCTAGGTTTCTTATGATTTTTTATATCAAACCGATATTTATAATAAATTCAGTTATTTACTATTTGTTTATGTTACATTCGTACTTTTATTTTGGTAAGATTACCTCCCATAATGATCACAAATAAATTTATCTTTAGTGGGGGTAAATTTACCATGATGACCATATACACTTTTCCCTACACATTCAATACCACCAAAAACATGAAAAATGAGAAATGTCTAATCAACAAAAGTTTTTCTTTTTTTCATACCAACCAAACATAATAAAAGTACATACATTAGTTTCTCACCCTATTTTATTTGTGAACCAAACCCAAACAATCTATTTTTTGAAAAAGTTAAAAAAACTCAAAACTTTGATTTCTTTACATGGAATTATATTTCCCAATACATGGGAAACGAACCAAACAGCCCCTAGATCGATTAGAAATGCAAGTTAGCAAGCATGTCAATTGTCAAGTCAATGGTCAAACAAATAGGGAATTAACTCGTCATGTTGACCTCTACGTTCGGGAAGAATAGCAAGTCCACCAAGGAGTGAAGTAATAAGTACACGTATATAGAGTTGGTAAAGTAGCGTGGAGGAGAGAAGACTTTTACAGTTGACAACGCCAATTACTATTTTAGCTAGATTGAACAATGCAGTATTCGCACTCTCTTTAATTACCACCTAATTTAATATATATATATATATATATATAATTAGGAATATAAGATGTCTTTGGAGCTACTGTCTCAAGAAATAAACAAATCTCAGGTACGAGGAGAGGAAGGAAAATGCAATTAACACGCTTCATTTTTGTTTTTAATATAATGTCAATATGATACCATGTTCATGAGGTTTAATGGCTTAACTGAACCCCTAGTGGCTTAAAGTACTGCTAAGAATCCACTCGATATAATTAGCAATTAAAAATGATACATTTACGAAGAACAGACACAAATGTTGTTGCTCATTCCATCTCATACGTGGAGACCTTGAAGATGCATACAAAGAAGCGCGTCCAGATATTGATGTGATGCCCGATGCACTTTGTAAGAACAGAGGAAACAGCAAGAGGATACACAACTCCAAAACAGTTGAATGCAACAAATTGCATAGATATTAACCGAGGGATCGAAGACGGTGATATACTCAATCAAGCTTATTTTGACGCCAAAATTCCAAACAGTTACTGTATTGCTGCAAGAAGTAAAGATTCCACAAGCAAATAAAACCATTTGCTAACAATAGTACATATTTGATGCAAATGCAGTAATTTGTACTCAAAGTAAAATGGGTCAAAATTGACACGACTCATCAGACAATTTGTCTAAGACTTCATTGAAGGTGATAAAGAGTACAAGGAGCAACTCATCGTACAACCATTTCCTTTTCAGTTTTGCAAACAGGGGAGGAGTAATCTATTTTCCTGGTAACATAACCAGGTTTTCCGTTGTAGAGCCTACTGGGGATGCTAACAGTACAAACTTCAAATAAAAGAAACGAATATACTATGAATTCCCATGTGAACCAAATTCCTTATGTCGAACCTTGATGAGTGCAAGTCGCAATATTCTTCAATGCAGGTGAACTCTCCATATTCTTCAAGTAACATGTTGGGGATTCACAGTAGAATACGTATGCTCTGTATGGTGTGAACATATCCAAATGAAAAGCTATATTCACAAATCTTATTATGATATCATCCTCATGTCAAATTCACAATTTATGACCTTGAGCCTAGACCATGTCGAAATGCAATGGAGATGTAGTAGATATCCCGAAGAAAAATAAGCTAGAATGCAGCATACCTACGAATTAAGTAACAGCTCAAAGTCAAAATCCTACATCATATGACGTATTTACATCGTTTTTTATCTTGAGACGCTTAATGTTGGGTGGATATTTTGAAAATCGCACCAAGTATAAAGAGGGGAAAAAATAACACAAGCATGGCAGTGACATCACCAAAATAATTCACTGATAATTAAACAACCAAAAGGGAGCAAAAATAAACTCACGTGAATACACACCTCCGAACTCTGATGCCATTGTATTAGTCATAGAGCTAGATTTTTGGAAAATAACTTGACAAAAGTATGAGCTCTCCAGAAGTCTGATGTTACTAGATAGATCTGGGCTCTCTATATACAAAAATGCAAGTACCAGAAATGTAAGACATGTATATCAATGGGCAACAAGCTTAGAAAGTTTCTAACACTCTGCAGGGGTGTTCAATAATTTTCAGTGCCCAGAATGTGTATCGACTTGTCCAAAAGTGATATAACCTTGTTAGACATGTTTCTACTACATAGGCGATCCTAAATCTAGTTATAACTAATACTAAAGTTCATCAATATAATTCAGTACCCATCCAAAAATCTGCATGCGAATGATAAAGAAACTGGCTCCAGCTAATAATCTGGATTAAAAATGCAATTAAAGGCCTTCTAGTAATTGCTAAAGCTTTTGGATTGTAGAGTACAGAAAAGACGATAGGATGTCCCCTTACAAACATCCTGAAGACCTACACTATTTCATGAGCATTATCCCAGTTCCCACTTCAGGCTTAAACATTTTAGACAACAATAGACTTAAGATTCTAATAACACAATATAACCCTATGGACAGCACACTATTGTCAAGAAAAGACTAGCCAGATTCCACTTGTAGACAAAAGAAAGAAAAATAAAATCTGCATTAGTGTCAAAAGAGAAAGTGCTGTTAACTTCATCAGGGATTACTGGAGAGTGTGCAATTCAAGAGTCATGATTAAAGCAATCAAACATTTTTTTTTTATCTTTATTAAGCAGCGAAGAGCATCCTACAACAATTCTTAAAAATTTCCCATAATAGGAAGTAATATCTACTAAGAAAAGACTCATGAGGAACAGAATTGTAGAAAACAGTACAAGTTAAAACAATCTGCGCGAAAAAATGCAAATTTGACTGTTAAATGTTAATCCTTTTTAAACATTTTATCATGAGATATGAGAGCAAAGAATATTAAAGAAAGTACTTTTAGTCTCCTGTTCAGTAAAGTTAACAAAAAATGCTCTTACCAAAACAAAAAAAGTGCTCTTACCAAAAAGAAATCTAAAAACAGGACCAATCAAGAAACTAAATGAAATTCAGTGAAAACTATGAAAGCCACAGTTGCTAAGAATCACAAAATTTTCCATGACAAAGTATCTGCACTAGCAAAGAAGGAAAAGAAAACAGAAGACATAATTGCCATGTCATTAACAAACATGTCCAGAGTTAAGAACACTAGGGAGACAGGATATGCGGGGGAAAAAAGAAGAAGAAAAAACGCCGCCTCCTCCTTGAAACTTTGAGCTGACATATAAAGTTGGCTGCTCAAGATGCATCCTATAAAGACAACAGTACCTAGAAAATAGATGAATTTATGGGTGATGTGAGACTGGGACATTCATGAAAATGTGCTCTATATCAGCTTAACCTTCAAAGTTTTCTAGGGTTAAGTGGTTAAATCCACATCTTCTGATTCTATATTCTGCAGCAATTAAAAGATACCAGCTACAATTTTGGTCCAAATTATAAAAAGGGTGATTTTTTTTTACTATTAAAGCATTTCTCTAGAAGAAAATCTGCTCATGAGAAAATATGAAATATTTTCAGCAGATGATAGTTGCAGCTTTGTTAATGAAGATGTAAGAGCTTCTAGCAACAGAAACAAGCATGGCAATTTTCGAAAACAAAAGCCTCAGTTTCTGCAAATTTACCAGTACGCTCAAAGACATTATACAAGTGTTACTTGCATTATCATCTATGTTTTCTTCACATCAAAGTAGGTGACCTCCGGCACACACTTCAGAAAAGTTGACCAGTCAACTTTCCGAAGATGGGAATGTCATGTTCTAAAAGGCTTTGTCAGCATGTAGGAAAACTCATTCTCATGACATTATGATTTGACAACCTAATTATTTAACTTTATAACATTTATGGCTCATATGAACATTTCCAGTCACTGCTAGTAATTACCTTTACAACATGCCCCATATTATATCCAGTAATAAAGAAAGATTTCCCATGACTATCAACTTTACCCTTAGCTTCAAGATTTAATCAGCAACTACAACGATTTAATCAGCAACTACAATGACAACTGGAAAAAAGAAACAATGGTTTGGTTACTAAGAAAAGCAGCTGTTCATAGATTTGTACCCAAAATCGTTCTCCGAATGTTGATGAAAGCCAACTACATCACCTAAACAGACAAGTAGGTAGCATTTTCTTCCTTTTTTGAAGCGGAAATAAAAATCTAATCAGGCAGATATCACTTATAATACTAATTCCCACAACATGTGCAGGGGTATGTCCTCAGACAAGTTAGAACTTAGAAATTAGAAGGTGCCAGTGTGGAAATGTACCATTTGCAGCTTAGAGACAACTAAAGATTTCTAGACCATCAGTCTTAGAACCAAGAGTAGAAACCATTGGCATGTTAAGGAAACAACAAATCATCTCTCTTCTCAAATAATGAAGATGGCAATACAGATGGATAGGCAAAGAAAATGCAAGCACTCAGAATCAGAACCAATTTTATGATTAGAGGAAAATATAAATTAGCATGGTCATCGTCATAGATTCCTGCAACTTCTCATAAACCCTTCAATGGTTCCCGCTTTAACGAATTACTGACTGCCGACTGCCAAGCTCTAACTGAATGGCCATAAGAAGTGCCAAAGGTTATGAAATTCACATTAGATGACACTAAGCTCAATATAAGCGAAATTTGTAATAAAATGGTTACAGACTATGTTACTAGACATATTCAAGATGAGTTTATGTTATTTGATGATAATAGTATTAGTTGATGTGAATACAGAAGGAATAATTTATAAAGTAGAAACTAGAAAGGTTGAGAGAAGCTCTCGAATCCAAAGAACTTGGAATTAGCAAGACAAAAACAAATACAAAAAATGAAATTTTAGTATAGGAATAATGAGCGCATACATATTGAAGGTCAAGAATGATCCACTTAGTTATTTAGCATAACCAATCATCGTGGTGAGATTATGAATGATGTGGTTCATTGAATTAAATCAAGACGGTTAAAATGGAAAAGGGCTTTTAGTGTCCTGTCTAATCATAGAATACCTATGAGATTGAAGGGAAAATCCTGTAAAATAGCTATAACCATCAATGCTTTATGCCTAAGAATGTTGGGCAATTAAAAACATGCATAGAAGATGAGTGCAGCAAAAATGAGCATGTTAATCCAGTCTCGTGGACATACACTTAGTGCATGTTTCATCAATACTCACCATATGAAACCTTAAGTTACTTATTACTTATTTTTACTTATTTTCTAGGAAAGCAATGTGGTCTTTAACATCAATAAGTAAACCACCTTATAAGTCCCAAAAAAATAAGTTGGAAAACTCCAACATACTTTTTTTCTATTTATAAGGATAAAAGTAAAGTAAATAACTAAATTTACCAAACATGCTCCTGAAGCCTTATAAGTAAAAGCAAACTTATAAGTTAAAATAAGTCACTTCACAAACGTGCTCTTAGGGCATGTTTGGCTAATGCTTATTTCTTAAATCCTTATAAGTAACTTATTACTTATTTTTACTTATTTTATAAGAGAGAAAAGTAGTATTTTACTATAAATAAGTAAATCTACTTATAAGTATCCAAAAATAAGTCAGGATTTCCCAACTTATTTTTTTGTTACTTATAACTAAAAAATAAGTAAATAAGTAACATTTACCAAACATGATTTTGGATCCTTACAAGGTAAAACTCACTTATAAATTGAAATAAGTAACTTGCCAAACATGCACTTAAAGACGAGATAACAAACGACTGCATTCGTAGATGGTTAGAGATTGATCTTATAATCCTATTGGGGACAAAATGAGAGATAATTGAATGATATGCTTTGGTCATGTACAACGGATACCTCTAAATCCACAGCATTTAGGAAAAATTTATAAGATTATAGTTAATGGGAGCAAAGAGAACTAGAGGATAGGCCTACACGAATTTGGTTGGGAACAATAAGAATGATATGATAATAGTTAACTTAACGAGGGAGATAATCCATAATAAAGTTGAATGGAAGAATATGATTCATGTAGTCAACCCTAAAAAATATTGGATGGAGGCTTCGTTATTGTTTTTGTTTTAAGTAAAATGATTGTATCCATGATTAAAAAGACAATAAGATAAAAGCTAGCAGACCTTCCAATAAAATTTGGGCTCCTTAAAAGGAAATGTAGTCTCAATGTGAAGATGAAAATTAAAACTTTTCTTTTTGATAGTATTATTGACGATGTTACATACAAGGAAACAGATAAATTCCATTACAGGCATGTAAAATTCCAGATGAGGTATCAGTAAAACAAAAAAAAGAAATCATGCACTACCATTAAACAATAAAGTACAATATGATAAAATATGTAAACAGTGGACTAAAACACTATATGAAGCAAGTGTATACCATCAAGTTAAAGCTTTCCTCTACTGAATTTGCTGTTCAAATGACTGCTGGCAAATTAAGGATGCTATTTCTGTAAGGTCCTTCTCTCCCTCAGTTTACTAGGTATGATAGAAACAGAGTCGACACAAAGTCCCCCTTTAGAATGTGTGCAATCAATTTGCTTCATGGAAAATCTTACTTCCAACATGTCCAAGTTACCAACAACAAAGTCGCCTACATGATATTCTATCCAACTCCCACGCTTGTTATTTCCGTTCACATCATCATTTTCCGGATCATCCAAAACCCACTCACGCGTGACTTGCTGGCCATCTGAAGTGGAAAGCTGGAAACGCACGGGTTTAATATCCCAACCATGTGTGTGTTCATAATTACAGAGTCGTCGTCCAAGTCTTTTGAAAGTTTTTCCAAGTTGGAGCCTAAATAACAAGCTGTATACACCAGCAGGAAACAAAAAGCTGACCAATCCTTCAACCTCAAACCACCATATTTGTTGTAAATAAGCCATGACATGGAACTTGGACTCTTCTGTAGGAACCCAGCTCCAGTACCTTCTGTCATCAATCCCTGTTATGGACATAGCCTTGGCTGAGATTGACAAGCCTACTCCACCAGTGACTCTGTTGAGCCAAACCAACTTTGAACCATCATCAAAGGTAACAGGCCGAGAGAGGAGGGCATAGATGTCTTTCTTCTTGGATATGTTAGTGTAGCTCTCTGGAGGGAGCAGCGCCAGAAGGTAATGGTAATTGGGTGGAAGCTTTGTCTCCCAAACAGAGTCGGCAGAGGCAGCACCGCGAAAAGCACGATTAAGTCGAGCAAGGTTGCAGATCTCCAGAGGGGTCAGGTACATAAAAAGACAAGCCACACAATTCTCTGGAATATCACCAAGACCTGGGCCACAAAACCCATTATTACCAAACTCTGTAAGGTTGGAGAGGGAAGCCCCCATCTTCTTACAGCACCGCAGTGCACTCAAACTCTATTTTTAAATCTATCCATCTAACAGACTGCAACTGAATCCACTGAAATGTCTCCATTTATGTAATCGTTCATATCTCTCTACTGATCCGTTACTCTTGATCTTTGGCTCTAACTGACCCACTTCGTTCCTTCTTTTCTAGTCCTTGCAGCTATCAATCAGTCAGACTATCAAGCAGGAATAGGCGTTCAATGTTTGAAACAAGAAATACATTGCTAAGAAAACAAAAACAAAAATCATTTGGTTTACACTTACACTGCATATTTAAAAAGGAAAATCATAAGTTTTCTAATTTTCATCCACTGCAGTTTTGACCATAATAGTGTAGAAAAGACTCATATAACACGCGCATGCGCACCACACACACACACAAGCATTGACTGTTATTATGTTTTAGGGTAAATTGATTTGTGACATTTATAGATCAAGTGCATACGGGTATTGTGCTTAGAACACAAATCAATTATCTGATAGAGTCCTACGGTAATCATTACTTCAGATCTCATATAGCAACCCGACATTCAGACTGAACTCAACTGAATGTCTATCACGTTGTATTACAGCATACTCTGATTTATTCAGTACTTATCCAATAATAGTGCATAAGGATGATAATGGACATACAGTTCATCAATAATAGTTGTAGCTGCATGGTTGAGTTGCATCAAGTGCTTGTATATTTCTAACAAACACAGTTTCTAAATTTCTGATAACCACTAGTTCGTTGAGACTTGTTCAATACGGATCATTCATACCACTCCAAACATTGTCAATATGTTCCCAAAATTGTCACTAGGCTTCAAAAAAAAATCAAGGACATATATGCTTCTAGAGGCTTAAAGACGTGTTGTTGAACACAACGTTAATTATCAAGAAAAAAAAACAATATACAGAGCTATCAAGAGAATAGTGGTTTAATTTTACTTTCTCCAAATTTTTGGGTTGGGTCAATCCTCAGATTCTCACACAGATGAAAGTCAGGAATCGAGAATAGCAAACAATTAACCATAAGAAATTTAATTTTGTGCTAATTTCGTTAACTTATCTGTAATACTTCACCGGATGGAGTTATTAATTACAAAAAAAAACGAACGAAAATTCTTTTTCCCCATTTTAGAAAGACAAAATCAATGAAATTTGCTCTCCAGTAGAACAATCTGAAATAAACGGATTCATCGACAATATCCCTAACAAGAATCCAGTTATCATGATTAAAATTATCATATGAGTTCATTCAACATCCAACAAGTTGGGTAATTCTAGCTTCAGAAAGCCTAGCCCATTCTTCGAGGCAAAGTATTATAAACATTTGGAAGAAAAAAAAAGGAGAGTATGAGAGTAGATCCAGAAAGCTCACTTCGAGATGGAGCGAAAACGGTTCGTTTGCAAGAAGAGCTAGGGTTTCGCCCTTATCGCTCGTATTTTCGCCTTTTTCTTAAGGATTTTGTTGGGAAAATCTTCCTTTTTTGTTCTTGTTCTTGTTCTTGTTTGGTGTTTTACGTATAAGGCCCCAACATTTCCCAGTATCCGAAACTGTTTCTAATCAAAAAGTTTTATTTATTTACAACCCCTCTTAGTCATGGATTTGCCAATCTGTTTTAGTTTCATCACCCTTTTTTTTCATTTTCCTTCAGCAGCTCATCCCGAATTCTTCAATTTGGATCCTCCTCATTACAAAAAAGTACATCAGAGGCCATAATTTTTTATCTTAACTGTTCTAAAAAATTATCTAGTGGGTGATTGTGATACATTCGAAATCTAACACTCATCGTCTCTCGTATATTACACACCCTAAAAATTATCTAATAATTGATTGTAATACATTCGAAATCTAACATTAATCATATCACGTATATTACACACATTTCTAAGTTACACTTAAATAAAAAAATCATAATCATCTACTAGAGAATCAATTCTAACGAGTTAGTAGTGGTTCCTCTACTGCTTTTTTTTATAGTAAAGAAGATTTAAACATTAATTCTTAGGACTGCTTGTTGCATAAAAATATAGAAAATTAGTTTAATGTTTTTGAGAACCAAAAATATCCAAGTAGTCAAGTCCCACCATGAAATCCTGTAACACTATTCTTTAGCATCAACTTAACTTAACATTTGGTATAAAAAATGATAGTATTATAAGTTCGTATTTATGTTATTTCTTTAGGATCTCAACACTAAGTGCAGAAAGAAATTTTAAAATTTGAGTATCAAAATATACTAGTCGTGAACATCTTTTTTTTTCTCGCTACAGTAATCCTGATTTCAAATACTACAGTAATTTTTTTTTAAAATTGGGTTGTTACTGTTTCAGCCTCTACTATAGTTTTTTAAAAAATGCTACAATATTCTCATGTGCTACATTATTGTTTTTTTAAAACTTGCTACAGTATCCCTTCCCTGTTTGATACAGTTAATGCTACTGTAACATTTATTGCATGATGGATAGTAAATCTTGGGTTCTCCCATTTGTATAGAGGAGTAGATAAGATATTTATGACCTAAAAATATATGAGACATATAAAAATCAAGATGATTGCATTTTATTATACATCTATGTATACTTAGTCATTGTAGGTGGAAAGAAATCTGGGAATCTGAGTATCAAAATATATAAGATATTTAAAAATCAAGATGATGCATTTTATTATATAATCTAAGTATACTTAGCCTATCTGTCCATTTTTAACCAAAAGACATAATTCATCTTACTTTTTTCCCTTCATGCGTCATAGTTAAATTATTTTAGAACCATATTCTTTTCAAGCAATAATCAGAAAATTTTTAGTTAAATTTTATTTAATTTTAGCATTATATGTATAGATTTGAAGTAGTTTTTATTGTTAGATCTGAATATCTGAGATCTGAATCCATAAAACCATGATTAATTCAAAGAGAATAAACAACAACAATGAGAGCGGAAGCTTATACCTGAATCCATTGTTTGGATTTTCACGGATCTGAATTAGGGTTTGATCTTCTAATCTTGAGGGTCTCTCCTGTAGAATCTCTTTAGATGGAGATTAAGAGAATAGAGAATGTAACCCTAGATTAGGGACAATAACCCCTTATTTATAGTTGTTGTACTTTTATAATTTGGCCCCTCAACAAATTATAATTACAACCTGGTATCCGTACATTTAGCTCATGACATATTTAAATACCCATTGACCTAATTATCTGATTGATCACTTTATGCGTATCAACTGAACAATAGCAACACACACTGATATAACATATGTGCCCACAAATAGATTTAATTAGATTTAAATCCAACAATCTACACTGATATAACATATGTGCCCACAAATAGATTTAATTAGATTTAAATCCAACAATCTCCCACTTGGGCGCCATATGTTTCCTTAAAGTGTGTATAACCTTATGAGCTCAAAAAATTGCTATCATAGATAAGGGTATTTCTGAATAATCTCGTCCATTGATAATATCAATATAGGTCAAAGCGGCATTCGTCACATTTATCATGACTCGACCCATCAATGGTCACATATACCAATATAATCAAACGACATAGATCAATCATGGATGTGCAGCATGAAAATTACATGCAATGTGATCAGTACATGGGATGTGCAGCATGAAAATTACATGCAATGTGATCAGTACATGTCTATTTTTAACTGGTCCTACTTTAAACTTTGGTGAGGTCAACCTCAACATTATGTACCAGAGTGTATGAACTGAAAAAACTTTATTCTGATCAGACAATACAAACCTAACATAAAGCACCACAATTACAAACTCCCACTAAATCATGATATCCTCAAATAATACCATACCCATATGAGCAGTATGTTCATGAAAGACCTTAGGTGGTAATCCTTTAGTAAGAGGATCAGCTATCATGGAGTTTGTCCCAATGTGCTCTATGGATATCTGTCCACTCTGTCCACTTTCTTTCACAACTAGGAACTTAATGTCAATATGTTTTGACTTAGTTGAGCTCCTGTTGTTATTGGAATACATTACTGTAGATTTATTGTTATAATATAACCTTAGTGGTATTTCCACATTTTTTAGAATGTGCAGTCGCGTGACAAAATTTTACAGCCGTATTCCCTGATTAGATGCCTCATAGCAAGCTACAAATTTTGCTGCCATAGTGGAGGAAACTACGAGTGTCTGTTTAACACTTTTTCATGATATAGCTCCTCCTGCTAACATATAAATATAGCCTGATGTAGACTTTTTGCTATCTTGGCATCCAGCAAAATCAGAGTCCGAATACCCAATGACCTCCAACTGTTCTGATTTTCTGTATGTGAGCATATAACTTTTGTTTTCTGAAGATACCTTATAACCCTTTTGACTGCTATCTAATGATCCATACCAGAGTTGCTTAAGTATATGCCTAACATCCTAACAATGTACACAATATCTGGACGCGTACATACCTGAGCATACATTAGACTTCCTACAGCCGAAGCATAAGGAATCTTATTTTCCTGAATTTCAATGTTGCCTTTAAGATACTGATTGTAAGACCCCGTAGATTTTGATAATTTATATATGTGATTATTAGTGAAAAATAATATTTATTTATGATAAATACCTTTATAACATGGTTGTGCATGAAAACTAGTGTTTTGAGCTTATGAGAATGTATTTATGCATCAGTTATGAGGTTGAGTTTGCAAATTTGCAAATCATGTGCAGCAGAGTCGAAGAACCCAGTTTTAAGGTCATGAGTCGACCCATAACTCATCATGAGTCGACTCATCAGGTTGAGTCGACCCATGACTGTCATGAGTCGACTCATGATATCAAGTCCCGTTGTCAAAAGTCTCTGCTGAGTTGACTCATCATCTTATAAGTCGACCCATGAGTCATGAGTCGACTCACGACTGAGCATGAGTCGACTCATCGAGGGTTCTCTGGTTTTTGTGGATCGGGCTTGTTTGGGTTTCGGGTCGGGTTTTAACTATTCATATATATTCTCCTCCACCCGAAAACACCTCTTTTCATCAGTTCTCCCCAAAGAAACCCAAGCCTCCTCTCCCCCTCAAAATCCTAGTTCGTTTTTGGGTATTTTTGGGAGATTTTCGGGGGATTTCAGCAGCTCCTTGTGGTTTGCAGCGAAGGGAATCGTTCTTCAACACACCTGAGGTGAGTAACATCTCGCCCAATCCTTCTCCCATGTTTTTAATAGTTTATAAACATTTTTCATGAATTTTATTGAGCCTAAGACTTATTTTCAAGTATAAATCAATGTTCTTATTAGTGTAAATACTAGAAAGCATGTGTTTCAGATTTTTTAAATCCTCACCAATGAGTTTTTGATGAAAACCCAGATCTGAGAATTTATTTAAAGAAATGAAAATATGAGTTTTATTTGTTTAAATGCCCTCTTTCATGTTTAGGGGTTAAATGTCAGATCTAACATGCAAGTGTTTGTTTCTCATGCTAGATATGAATTCTTTTTCACTGTCTCATAGTTTAGAAGTGATAGTTATGGATATGTAAATTAGTGTAGTGGAAGTATGGAACGAGATGACGAGTTGCAGTTGTGAAATGTCCAGTTTTCAGCTCGTGAGTCGACTCATCAGGTTGAGTCGACCCATGACTGTCATGAGTCGACTCACGAAGTCAATTCCTGTTATTCATAAGTGTCTGCTGAGTCGACTCGTTAGTTTATGAGTCGACCCATGAGTCATGAGTCGACTCATAACTCATAGCTGATTATGAGTCGACTCATCGAAGTTTTTCCTATTTCGTTTGTGTTTCTGCTTGATCACCTACTGTGCTTATACTTTCATACAGTGTTCATATATAATCGAGGGTACTGTTTATCATTTTTGAACATGAGAAGTTGCCTTGTTTATCGGGTATTAAATCGCAGTATTTATGATTTCATCTACACATGTAAGATGACTTTTCGAACACAAGCTTAGATCTGTACAGCGAGGCATGTACAAGAGTAGAATATGTATACCTTTACTATTAGTATTCCATGGTTCATATACACAGTCCTCGTGTTGGACTATAATTTATTAAAGTCCTCGTGTTGGACTATAATCCATTAAAGTCCTCGTGTTGGACTATAATTCATTTTAATCATGTTTTAGACTTTTGCTAAACCTTGAGCATGTTACTAAATCAAGTTTGGGTACACGACATATTGTATGAGGCTGGGACATAATAGCTACCTAGGCTAGACATGTCACCTATTGTAGCTTTGACAGGTTTATATTTTTATTGGTAGAGATAGGGTTGTATTTATTTTCTTTATTTTTTTTGTGACAAAACTTGGGTTTAATATTTAGGGATTTACAATTTGAGATACAAGGTATATACATGAGGGTTTCCTTGTTTGGATTATTTCGCTCGACGTACCTATGCTCGTGTTGTATTTCCCTAAGTACTAAAACCCATTAATGTTTGTGTAAATGATTTATATTATTATGTAATACTGTATTTTCATATACAACGAGCCCTATCCTTTGGGGTTGGTTGCGGTG